CAGACACCTCCCCTCCCTCCCCTGGGTTGTTGCACAGCTCAGGAAGCTCCCTGCACCAGGGTGTCTTGCACAGCACAGAGGTAGCAGACACTGTCAGAGACCTCCACTTCCTCCACCCGCAGGACACTGTATTTGCCCGTGGTGTTCAGATCCGTGGTGAAACGGCCGCTGTGCCTGGGGCCAGGCCCTGACTGATAGGAGAGCAGCTCTGGGACTTGGCCGTCCCGCAGCTGGTACCAGAGCAAGGCATTAATACTGGTCTGGTATTTGCAGGTGGTTTGGAAGGGCTGTCCCTGCTTCACCATGACTGGTCCACCTTCCTGCATGACTGTGGTCTGCCCTGTGGTGCCTGAAAGAAAATAAATGTCAGCAGCTCCATGGAGAAATATTAGAGAAACAAAAAGCAAAGTGAGTGAAAAATCCTGGTGAAATAAGCTCTCTGCCCTGTTGTGTCCTGAGATGTGCAGACAGACAGGAAAGAGTGATTTTGGGCAGGATTTCTGAGCTCTGAGCACAAAAGGACCCAAAGGAGAACTGTTCTGTGTCCCTGCTCCTTCTACTGCTCAGATGACCAGGGAACAGACTGAATTTTGTGTGCTCAAGGAAATGAGGAACCCATCAACATAAAGCAAAAGGTTTCATACTCCTTGCCCATCCCTGTCACCTCTGAGGGATCCTCAACCTCTGAGTACACACAATGCTGGGCTTGGAAAGAGGGAGTCCTGTTTGTGTTGCAAAACTGGACAATGTCAGTGAAATGAGAGGTGAAAGGGCCCAGAGCAGATTTGACAGGATCGGGGAATTTGCATTAGAAAGGGAGGACGGTGGGATTGCAGAGGCAGCTGAGACGTCCTGTGGTGACAACAGGTGGATCAGAAGAGAGAGGCAGAGGGAGATAAATTGAAGGGGGAGAAAGACAGAGAAGGGGTCTAAGGCTTCTCTCTCTTCCCTTTTCCTTTACAGATGTAACAGCTTATTGAGCAAACATTTGCACAACCACAAAGAGAAGCAGAGATTTCTCATCCTTTTCCCCCAGTTCACTGATATTTCCCCACATGATCCCGCTAAGGGTTTTGAGGGTTTCCTGGGGAGAAGATGAAGAAGGGTGCCTTGGGAAATAGGCAGGACTTACCCTGGATCTGGCTCAGGAAGGGCGTGAGGATGAGAAATGCGAGGTGCATGGCGAGAGCAAAGCTGCGTGTTGGCTGAGTGAGGAAGAGCCAGAAAGCACCTCCCAACCCGAGGCGACGGAGCTGCCGGAAACGGCTCCCTGGGGGCAGCAAAGGAAGCAGCGAGGGGACAGAGAAATGGCGAGTCCTTGCAGTGCCTGAAATGCTCATTCTGGGTTTGTCCCTCGTTGAGCAGCAGCTGCCGTGGCTCCCTCAGCCATTGACGTTCTGAGCGATCTCTGCCTCTATTACTGAAGTGAAGGAAAAAGGACCAATCAGTTTCATATGGAAGGTGGTTGTGACAGAGCCCTCAGGTGATTTGAAATGCTCCTCTAATCTAACATATTTCTTGCTTTCCCCCTCAGATATCTGAATATTCTGCATTGGCTGAATCCTCTTTCATGGCTGTTTGTGGACACTCAAGGGTGAGACATAAATTCAGGGAAGTGAATTCCAGCCTCACATAGGATTTAAACCCCAGAGTTCCTTACCCATTTAGATGGGAAAGGGGCTTGCTATCCACCTTGCACAGTGGGACAGAGACATTTCTCCAGGGACAGAGATTTGTCATTTCAGAAAACCTCACTGAAAACTCCTCTCCTCCTGTTACTACTGAGATGACAGCATTAAATCAATTGGGCGACGTTGGCCTGTCAGTGCAGCTGCTCTGTCAGCTCCCAGCACAGACGCTCTCAAGGAGCAGCTCTTTGCTTTGCCAACCAGGCTGAGCGCAGCGATGGACGTGCCCAGATGGCCAAAGGC